TATTTCGATATAATTATTTCTTTATATATAAAAAAATTAGAAATATAAGTGATTATATATAAAGAAATTAGAATATAAAGTGAAATAGAACTTAATTTTACGAAAAAAGTAAAAAAAAAAAAAAAATAGAAATATCAAGATTCAATTGATGAAATTGGTTGTTTCCTTTGAGAGGAATATTTCCGCTCCATTAATTTTGTTCGAGTTTCCATCTGAGATGATTTTTGATTTATAACGAAACAAGAAACTCGATGAGAGAAGTAACTCCAAGGTAAACCACGAAATTACAACTTTGCTCTGACGAGCATCAAAAGGAACGAAGTCATCCGTCTTTTGGATTTTGGTATTCAAAGAACGTGGTATGGAATCTCATCTCTTTCGACGAATTGATATTCCTTTCGTCTTTAAATACACGTGATATTAGGCTTGTAAAGAATCTTATTCATTTTGGAAAGATGAGTAGGAAGTATATTTGTGATAGACAAGTTTGTACATTTTGTGTACAGGATATGAATTTTTTTTTTTTTGATATTTTTTTATTACATTGGCAATATAACACATGGAGAAAGAAAATTAATATTTATTTTTCTTAATAATTAAATTTTTGTTTATATTTTCACAGTTAAACTTATATTAAATTTATGAAATGAAAAATGGAAAATTTAATATTTAATATTTTAATAATAGTTAAATTCTTATATGTATGTATGTACTAATAGAAAATTTAATATGAAATTTTTAATTTTAATTTTTAATTAAAGAGACTTGTTAGTAATACTATTGAAATTGATTTTTTATTGAGTATTTTATGTAATTTTTTATATAATTTAATTAATAAATTTTTGCAAACAATAATTTTTACATAAAATTTATTTTTCAGAAATTAATATATAATTATATTAAAATACAATATAAGTCATTTAGTTGATCAATTAAGAAATAAAAATTAATATTAAAACTTCTCAGAAATCAAATAATCAGACAAGTTGATCAGTTTAGTTTCCCTAAAATTCAACTATACGTTCATGATGAATATATATTTATAGTAATGAACATAAAATTAAAAAATATTACAACTTATACAATTTTTAATCAAAATAATTAAATTAAATTTGATTAAACGAAGTTACTTTCAATTTGCAGAATAAATTGCTATGTCTATAGAGACAATTACTTATTCTTAAAATGAAGTGACAAGGTGAATAAGTGAGCTTAGCTTATTACACGGTGGCTTGATTAGGTAATTCGTTGAAATATTCGTTTAGCTTCTAATTTCGCTTTAGGAATGCAATTTAATCTACGTGGCCAAGGGCAACGTTGTTAAACCTGTACGAAGAAAAGGGGGTGAGTTGGGGATAGTTTAATGAGACAAGCTCTTGATTATCGATGACAATATTGCAAACAAAGATCTCTGTTAAAATTATAGAAATGATATATATATGATATGCATGTAATATTTTGCAATTAACAAAAATGTAAATTGCTTTCTGTTTTCAGAAAAATATTTTAAATTCTCCATTTCTTTGCCATTTTAATGTAAATTTTTTCAATGGGACAAAAATATAATATTTCTTATTTATATATATATTTCTTATTCGTATAACGAATATTTTAATTATAATATATATATCCATTTCTTTGCCATTTTAATGTAAATTTTTTCAATGGGACAAAAATATAATATTTCTTATTTATATATATATTTCTTATTCGTATAACGAATATTTTAATTATAATATGAAAATATAAAGTATTAAAAAAAATAATGCAAAATAAAATAAAGAAAATGTAAAACTATCTGTAATATAATTTGTATATTTCTGATCAAATATAATCATACATTTTTTATTTTGTGTAAAAATAAATTCTATTAATTTATGTAAAATATTTTGCTTATTATTTATTTATTATTAAACTCTTTTTAAGATTTCAGAAAAAAATATTCAAAAACATTTTATTTGTTTTTACAACAAAAAAATTAGATCTTATAGAATAATGATAGAGTATTAATGATGTTAAAGATTTTGTATCTTATCTAAAATCACTTAACTTGAATCATTCTGTATCTTAATTCGAATCGAATTTAAAAATCTAAAATTTTTAATTCGAATGATCTATGATCTATAAATCTGTTATCTTACACAAATTCATGTTTACCGATGAAAATTGATTATGAAATGCGACCAATACAATACTCTGTTCAGGTTAATTATGTTAAATGTCACGTACAAATCAACATTTCAATAGTATGATGTGACATGCGTATATACACCGCGTTTACGTACTATGCATTGAACTCGATGATATGCATTATTTATCAAGCTTTGTAAAATATTTATGAACTTTCGAGTTCGATTTAACTTTTCGTTTATTATTCAATCTTAATACATTATCAATCAAATTATATTAAAGAAACATTACTATAATCTCTATAATTTTTTAGAAATTTCGAAATTCTTAGGAATCTTGAAATTCTTGATTTCAAAATGTATTCGAGAATGTTTCTATTCTAAATTTTCGATTCGAAATTTTTGAGTTGTTGTTAAACTTATTTACATAATGCACGATATTTTTTTATTGATAAAAAAATGATACACTATAAACGTGTTAATTTATTCCAAATTAACTGTGATATAAATTATCATCTTGTTGTCGATATCTCATAATTTCGTGATAAATTCTCGTGTTTTGTTGTGGGTTCACGTACAATGAAGTTAATATAATTTATTGAGCAAGTCATCTGCACGCAACTGTTGTTCAGTTTTACGAGACGCAATTAACGTTCTCGATATTTGTTCAAGCATCATAAAATGTTCACACCCACAAAAGAATATAAACGCTGCGTAGCGTTTATTTCACCTCTTGGTTTTCTAATTAAATATATTTTATTATACACTTCATAATAAAAACTTTTTTAAGTAAATATATTATCATCACATTGATCTTTTTGCAAAATTAAATTTTACATTTGGTATTTTTTTGCATGTCATGTATAGATTTTTATTATATCTCAAATTTTGTATAAGTGCATAAACATATTTGCATATGTTACATAATAAATATCTTATACGTATTAATTCTTTGATACGTTAAAAAATATAAAATTTTATTTTTCTTATATTATTTTATGTTGTTATTAAAATGTTTCTTTCATTCATAATTTTCTTATTACTATTTCCATAAAACACTTGAATTTTTACATTCATTTTTCAACATTTCTCTGTAATTATTCATTTATCTTAAATTTTATGCAAATATAACAACGATTAATCAAAGCTAATTACATAGGTATATCATTAATATCATAGCAGTGTAATAATTTACGATAAAATTTTTGTTCAAATATTTCTCTATCGCGAATAAACCAAATTAATTTTTAATGACACGTTTAATTACGAAACAGCTGTCAACCATTTCACTATTACGCGCCGATTAATTTCCCTGTTGGCCGTGAATTTGAATCGAAAAATTTCTCTTCAATTTCTCGTCTCTTTCTCGGAAATATTTCGAATTAAACCTCGAAATATGACATTTAACACGCCAACGTATTTTCACTGTATACAAATTCTTTTCTGATTAATTTATTTTATAACTTCCAAAATGTTTTTTTCGTAAAAATTTTAATTGAGCGATTTATACAATTTAAATTAAATTTATAAAATTAGAAAAATATAGTTATTTTTAATTTTTTTAAGGAAAAAGAAAAATGTATGTGCACAAATGTAATTATTAAATGTTAAGATTAATTAAAAATTTTATTTTATACAATAAGAAATATTTATTCACAATAATATCTATTTTATTTTTTAAATTATAAAAAATTAAATATAAAAATTCTTGTTAAATCGATAATTTTTTAATTTGAATTTTAAGAATCTTTTTTAAATTTAAATATAATGTAAAATATATAAAATTAAGAAAAGTTTAAATCTTGATTTTATTAATTTGTTCTAATTTGTTTAAAAAATACAAGCTTTGAATTTTGCAATTTTTTCAGTTAATAATCAATTAAAAATTACATATTATATTATGTAATCCCTTTGAAATATATTTTGTATTTTTTTAATTAAAAAGTTTCAGTTCTTTTTACTTACTTAAATAATCTCAAAGTTTTGAACGGTAGTGTATAAAACATGAAATTTTCTTTCCTAATTTTTATGCATGGTGGATATCCGTTATCCAATAAGAAATTATACGATATTTTTCAAGGTAAATCATGTGACACGAAGCGTAAAATAAGTTTTCAGTGATCGATTATGTATCTTATTATGCAGTCTTACAATGAACTTCCAATATCTTCTAAAATAATTATTAATTTTCGGTTCTGTCGATGCGTCATATTAAAATATTCTGAAAAAATTGAACGATCGTTTATAACTATTTTAAACATAATTTACTTCGTTACTTTGACTTTTTATAATACTTTTTAGTTTGTAATTTTTTATATTATCATTTCGGTATAAGAAAATTTAAATATAATTTTTAATTGAAAAATATTTAATTATTAAAAAAACTTTTCAATAGTTCTATGAAATAAAGCATTTAAGTGTGATATTCCTTTAACACTTTATGATATTTCTTTAAAAAACGATACTTTGGAATCGAATTGGTATCGATATTGAAACAATTACACCTATTTAGAACCGATATAAATGTAAATGATATAATTAAAATCGTAAAAGGTGGTTTCCCAACTAAAGCTAATACTCATTAAAAAAATCGATTTCCAAGAATTAGCATAGAAATTTAAATGCTTTACGAAAAATCTTTCCAATATATTTAAGTAATGACAAATAAAACGACATTTATACATACATTTCTTTTTTGTTTGATTATATAATCTTAATAAATTTTTAAACTTTATTAAACTTTATTAAATTTTATTAATGAAATAAAATAAAATAAATTTACCAATTTAGACTAATTGTGAAGAAAAGCAAAAAAAGATCAATGCAATAAATCCAATCAACACTTACTTAAGAAATTACATTATGTTGCAGGTAACATGTCAAGACGAAGACAGCACTCAATGCATGCCTAAAACAGCTTTCTTGGCCCTCTTACGTCATCCGGAAGTGAGTTCGAGTTTGGCCGCCTACTCCAGAGCGGCAAGGGTGACTCAAGATACGAAAAGTCGTAACGACATGGCGCATCTGAGGGCTTTGACCGAAGAGGGCGACGACACCGAGATCTGTGTTCCTGGTCGTGTTTATTTGCAATTGTTGAAGGATCCTGTCGTACGTGGTGACCTCAGCGCAATCCTCAACGGAAGAACGCAGAAGGTGCCGGATCTTCTGGGACGTTTGATCGACGACACCGACGAGATGGATGCGAGGGAATATCCGTTTGAATATCAGAAAAGAAGCATCGCGACGCTGGCCAAGAACGATGATTTGCCGATTAACCTTCATGATCGAATGGCAGAAAATGAGGATGACGAAGAAAAGAGGACAGTAATTTCCAGGTATGAAAGATGTTATAATTTATTATTAATTATTCTTACTCGACACTTCTTATAGTTCCATTTTATACAAGATCTTATTTTACTTTTTAATAATCTTAATAATTTAAAAGGACGGACAAATCTTATTTTTTATCAATTTAAAAAATTTCTTATACTTTTAAAAAAAAATATACTTTCTTTCGCTAAGAAAGAAAAATCTTTCGATAAAAAAAATCTTCCGCAATTAAACCAAATTAAATTCTCCTTTTTAAATTTTCCAAGTTCTTCCATCTAATTCCCTTCCAAACTTCTTTCCAACAGCGATCATTCAATTCTCCGCGACTACCTTCCACCCAACGGCCGATCAGACGAGCAAGCCTTAAGGGATTTCTCGATGGAGAAGCGAAACGTCGGCACCCTGGCCCGCGATTTCGCCTTACCACCCGGTAGACGCAACATCGCTTCCCTGATCCGTGATTACGACCAGAGCAGAGAAAATCGCGTGTCGTTCCCTGGGAAAAGGAACGTCGCGTCCCTGGCAAGAACGTACACCCTGCCACAAAACGCTGGAAAAAGGAATGTGGGATCCGTGGCAAGAGAGCATGGACTGCCTTATGGGAAACGATACGTCGCCTCGTTGGCGAGAACGGGCGATCTTCCTATCCGTGGTCAAAGGAGCGTCTCCTCTTTGGCCAGAACGGGCGATCTTCCTGTCCGCGAGCAAAGGAGCGTCTCATCTTTGGCTAAGAATTCCGCTTGGCCTGTGTCGTTGAAGAGAGGAATCTTTCTGCCCGGGAGCGTGATCCTCAGGGCGCTCTCCCGCCAAGGTAGATCGTTCGACGCAGACACGAATGCGAGAAACGATCTGTTGGATCTTCAGGCGCTTGGCAACTTGCGACAGAGTCAGGAGAACGATTACGAAAGCGAGGAGAAGGTGAACGATTCGTTGAAGGTCGACTCGAATATTAGGAGATCCAAGAGGGAGATTGCTTTCTCCGATGAGTATCCGCTTCCTGTGATGCAGAACGCGAATATGTTCGATTACGAAGAGATGATGGAGGCGCTTGGTGGACAGTATCCTAATGCTGAGAAGAGGTTCATGGGTGAGTAACTTTGATTCGTTTTTTTATGGGTTTAATTAATTTGGAAGTTTTGGGAAAAGTAATATGACAAAGAAACGAAGAAAGAAGTTTATTTGATGATGGATATATATATGTTTACAAGTAAATTTCAAAATCTTGTTTAAGGAATGTTCAAACGATACGATTATTTCATATTTAATTCGTATAGTGTAATATTTGCGAAATCTTAAATTAGAAAGCTACAAATTCCTAATAATTAAGACAAGAATAATCGTTAATTTATACTTATATAATAAGTGTTTTATTATATTTTATGTAACGAAATATGGAATGATACAATTACTTCTTCTCTTCTTCAAGACATCGACAATTATTAATTAAAATGTATTAATATTTATATCACACGCGAGTGCAGTTCAAAGAAAAGAACGATTCAAGAATCGAGATAGAACTTTAGAAACTATTCCTTTTCCAAGAAATGTTCTTCGTAAATGTGATTACAGTCGAAAGCAAATCCAAAGAAATACTCAAAACACACATGGATCGAAGCCGTGAAATATCCCTTTTCCCCTTTCAAAAACGGTACTCTTCCATGCTTGAAACGCGAGGCGAGATTAATTAACTTTTCAACCGAATGACAGCGATACGGCACGCTATACCCTTCCGTAAGCACCCTCGATACCCGAGATCCGATAAAAGTAGACCTCGTTCGAGTTTGTGTATTTCATGTCGGCGGGAATGGACATGTCAACCGCGTAGTAATTGAACACGAAAGTCAGAGATCGAGCGTAAATCGAGCGAGTGTATCTGTGAATGTCAGGAACAGGTTCTGCACCGGAGATGCAGCCGGAGGTAGACCAGTTCGGCTACCCGGAAACGTTTCAAGCGAATAAAAGGCACATCGGGGCCCTGGCACGCCTTGGTTGGCTTCCATCTTTGAGGACCGCCAGATTTTCGCGGTCACCTCGGTATTTGGTTGACAGGTCAGACCATTAGGTTCTCACCTGTCATTTTATGTTCGATTGAACGGAAAGTTGTTGCCGTTTTTCTTGTCGATATATTTTATATATGTGTCATAAGTGATAATTTTTTTAATATTCAAATTTATACGAATTTAATCTTTTGATATTTATGGCTCGTCATTGAGTGAAATGTATTATGTAAAATAGAGTGAATTTTTTCATTGATATTATACATATTTCTTTAATTCATAGTTATAATTTTCTAAGTGAATAAGATGTTTCCATAATTTCTTGGTTAAATTAAAATTTTGTTGCATTAGATAATATATTATATATTTCTTGAAATGATGTATCTGATATGAAATAATTAAATTCTTTTTTAAAGTTGTGAATAGTTATTAACAAATTAAATATAGTAATACGAAATTTTATAGTAATATCATATAGAAAATGCAAAAACTTTCCATCTAATTTAACGATATGTATCATTCGTATGTCTCTTTGTGCCTCTTTTTCTTTCTTCTTTCTTTTTGTATATCGTCCGTCACTCTCTCATCATGCTAAAAATGTAGAAAAAAAAAAAAAAAAAAAAAAAAAGAAAACAGTATTGTCGATTCATCGAAAAATATATTCGAACAATTGGAGAGGAAGATTTTCGTAGTGGAAGCATTATTTAAAACGTCACCAATATTCATACTCCACTTTTATTTCTTCTATTTCTATGTGGACAATTCACGGTAGTTAGTAATTGTAAACTGGTAATAGGTGTCTCGATGTGGTGTTCTTACTTCTCGATGTTATAGAACTGATCTAATCCTGTTATCGATTTAGAGCATTGATGTGGTAGATTCATTGGCTGGCTGAAATATACAGGGTGTCTCGCAATTTAAGAAAAAAATTGTTAGGAACAAAATTTCTAAGTTTAGATTTTGAAAAAGAATATTACATATGTATATAATTGATAAATTATTTTTGGAAAATTTTTAATTATGATATAATTTATGCTTTTATATTATATTTATAGCAAAATGATTTCTCAAAATCATTTTTATAAAGATTTTTTAAGATTATTAATGTTTTTTTTAAACAGTACTATATATTTTTTTATTTAGTTACATTGTATGTTTGAGCTTGAAAATTTAGGATATTACTTTAAATAAGGATTTCATTTATTTTTCAGTTTACAGGACACCCTGTATAAATATAGATATTCTAGCGCGAATAATCGATAGCCAATAGATAGATTATACTTCTAGAGTTGTTCATTGTTAGATTATTGTGTGTTGATTCAACTTACAGGGTTATCTAATCGGAAAATTGTTACAATTGACCTTTCTTTCATTGTACTATAATTCGTCATTCTAATTGATATATCGATTTTGAAGAAAGATGAAAGAAATTATAACTTCTTTCATGAAGTATTTTATAACATTTTATCCAAATTTGTTAAAGAAAATATCTGATTTATTATTTGTAATCGTTTTAGATTCTCATTTTCTCAAATGGTGAAGTGTAAGTAATTTTGTATCTGTCATGTCGAAATTTGTTTTTATTCCAGAAAAATTGAATATTATAGATTACCCTGTTTTCCGTCTTTTAATCTATGGCAGACAATGTTTTATTTGTTAAATAAAGAATTCGTATTAGTATCACATTTTATTTAAATTTCTTAAAAAAGTGTTCTTAAAATGTATTATAATTATTATGTAGCAAAATCTATTTAAGATTTTCTCTATATTATTTAATATTTCGTCTATTTTTATAATTGAAGATTTTAACATTGTTAAAACATTGTACTGTCTTTAATGTTAAGTAGTTATTAAATGTTGAATATTAGATATGTGCTATATTTTCAAAATCATCGAATCTTCATTTCTATCAAAAAATAACATAAATGTCTTTATGCGCTTATATCTGTACAATTTTTTATGCGGCGATATCAATTATATATATGGTACAAGCTGCGAATACAATTATAGCGTTTGTTTTTTTCTTAGCGATAATGTCAGTGTTTAAAAATAATAAATCTATGTAGAAAAAAAATATATATATATATAAATTCTATGTGCTAAATAGACTAGTAACTTGCACTGTACAATTAGATGAAATTTTATTTCGTTATCTGACAAAAATTTAAATGATATATTTTAGGGAGAATCCCGCAGATGGGCCCTCGCCCAACTACTCCTCCAACTCGTCGACAAGGTCGTTAAGGCCTAATCTCAATCCAAGGACACGCTACATTCAAGCCTTACACGGGGATTGTCGACACGGCTTCAAAAGGTTTCTTCTATTACCGGCTACGGATAATAATTATTTTCATCAAAAACTTCCTAGCTCGTTGCGATCCAAATCGTTATAAATCGTTTTATCCAGAACACGATAAATATCGATAAAATAATCATTTTGTTAATAACTTTTGCTCATATATCTTTGAAATTGAATAGCATTTATAATATTTTGTTTTTAAAATTTGAATTTATTTAGGGATTTACGGAAGAATTTTTGATATTTATCTATAACTGATATAAAGTTATTTTTTTCTTGATATTATCTATAATAGATAAAACAATTTTAGTGAATTATATGTGGCTTTCTTATAATTATGTCATTGCTTTCTTTTAGATAAATTTTCAATTGATATTTTTGGATCTTATATAAATGATTCATTAGAATTTAAATCATTTAATTTTTAGAATATTTTAATTTAAAATATATTAAAATATATTGCATATTATTATTAATAATAATTCTTATTTAAATAATATACAATACAAATTTGAAAAAAAGATAAATGAAATTTAATAGAAAAAATGATATATGTTTATTTGTAATTATATATGACTTAATTAATCAAGGGTTAAATTATGAAACTCTTTCTTAACTCTTTCTTACCATTTAGAAAGATTTATAAAAATTGTTATATGTAATGGATTTTCCAATTAAGTATGATATTTTCGTATTTTAGCAGTTATTAATGTTCGATTTAATATATTGACTATTCTATCGTTAATTTTCACGGATCTATGCTACTAAATTTTTATCACTAACTGAAAATTTTATATGGTGAATTATTTACGCTTTCTATCGATGTACAATTTGACTCGTACTATTTTATATATATACATTTTAACGACTTTATACATATATTGTATTTAATTCAGTGCTTACTATCCTAATATTGTAAATGTATGTTTAAGGAAAATAACAGTCAATGCGAATTCTGAGCGACGTTCAATTTTTTATGAAATTTTAAGATTAGAAATCGATAATTATTTTAGTAATTTATATTTTATAATTTATATCAATTTACTATTAATTTAATTTCTTTTTGGTTTAACGAATATCATTTATAATCCAATTTTATAAATTTAATTTATTTTCATTTGAATTGACAAAATAGAAGTATAATTATTATAAATTTTTGACAAAATTGTACGCTGCTCGAACAATATTCATTCAATCTTAAATTAATAATTTTTCAAATTTAATCAAAATATTTTTATAATTTTAAGCGATTTCTATTAATGTTAAGAGACATTTTCGGAAATTATTATTTTTTTCCATAATTAATGTAATTAGACAATAATCAGCGACAATAATATTAAGAATAATAATTCTAACAATTCTATACTAATAATATCAAACATCCGATTCATATATCTATTTTGCATTATAACACGCGTTTTAAATTTAAATGCAGAAAAATCCTAACTAATGTTCCAAAGTCTTTCAAATTAATTTTGAAATTTTATATCTATTTATCTGATATTTTTAACACATTGTATTCTTTCTTGAATAGACATACAGTGGCGAGAATAGAAGCAGGGAAATTACTTTTAAATTACTTACTTCTAAATTCAATTCATTAATATTATAAAATATAATTCCAAAATGCAAACAATTTTATGCCTTTTAAATAGAATAATAATATAAGTTAATAAAATTTTCATTTCTATTTATTTATTTTAACACAATTAAAAATATATATATTGCTACATAATCTCAAAATAAAAACACTTTGCATAAGAATTTTCCCTATTTATATACTTGCTACTGTAACGTGCAAATATACTATTTATTCTAAATGTAAATGTAATTATTATATTATAAGCAACGTTAACAATCAAATAGTCTGAATAATCTGAATTTCTTCTGTATTCGAGTTTAAGAGTTCATCTTTCGATTGATGAGATTGTTCATCAAGATAATAGAAAATTTTTCGACAAATTTTCGATATTTCTATAGCCGCGATTCTAAGGATGAAACAAGATGGAGGAAGCCGTGAAGCGATCTTCGTATAGCAGTAGTCGGTGTAAAATTTTAGTGCTCAGGGCTTGCAGGCTCCGATAGTAATAAACGCAAAAATTCAGCTTTCTTTTGTCCATGATACATGTTTCAGTACTTATCGATAGATCATTGTGTAATAAGTGTAATATTAAATGTAACAAAAGATCGGGAAGAATAATTGCGAATAATTATGAATCGATCGATAATCATCGATTTGTCATTGATGCGAATGGCGTATACACTGTCTGTTCGATCGCCTTCGATTTTATGAGGATATATTGATGTTTTTGTCTAGACAATAACGAGTAAACGAGACGACAATAAAGCGATAATAATGAACGATGAAATAAATACCTTGTTTGTCATATTATCGATTCCAATAGTGGTTTTTATTCTCTTCTACGTTCCTGTAATTGAATGGAAGATTTTCTGAGATTTCTTTTCTTAACTTAATTGATAAACATAGATAGACATATTTTTTATACGTATTTTTTTTTCTATACGTTGCATAATGAGATTACATACAGATTTTATATATTATATATTTTTTATATTTTTATATTAATCATTATCAATATTAATGTTCAATACATCTTTTATTTTTATTATCTTCATTTTTCATGTGAAATAATCAGTTCGATATAAAAAACGATTATACTTTTAATGATAATTAATTGAAATTAAAGCTTAATTTTACACAAATATTCATTATTTATTAGTTAATATAAATTAACAATAAATGGTATTAATTATAGAGATATTCATAATATTTATATGATTCAATTATAGTTAGAAAAACTAAGTAATATAAATTAAGAATACGATTACATTTCTAAATCCTTTAAAATTAAAAAAAGAAATAGTTCAGAATTAAAAAAAGAAGAATATTTTAATTAATATTAATGTTATTTTACATATATTGATTCTACATATATTGATTTTACATATATTTTCATATAAAATTACAAATAAAAATTAAAACAAAAATTTTGTACAGAAATCATTGCTTATAAATTATTTTTAAACCGAGAATATATCTTTATTTGTTATATTAAAGATTAAAACGTAGTGTAGTTTTGAAAGAAAAATGATAAAAGTGCATCCAATTGATACTTTGTACTTCGTCTGTGATTACGCGCCAAGAATAAGTATAGACAAAGAGAGCAAATAGTGGGAAAAGGATAGAGATAGAGTAAAAATTGTGGAATCAGCGCCATCTTCAGAGTGCCGCAAATGAAACACATATAAACAAGGAGAGAAAATAATAGAAAAGGATAGAAATAGAATAAGAATTAACAATTAGCGCCATCTCTCATCATATCAACGAAACTCTTCGAAGAATCGTTTCTATCGTTTCTAAGAATATTTAAGAGATGGCGCTAGTCCTTCATTCTTACTCTACTTTATCTTACCTTTGACATCCAAGAGATGGCAGCACAAGTCTATTTCTACCCTATCTCTATCCTTTTCTTACTATTTGCTCTCTTTATTTATATGTGTTTCATTTGCGGCACTCTGAAGATGGCGCTGATTCCCGAATTTTTATCCTATCTCTGTCCTTTTTCCATTATTTGCTTTCCTTGTCTATACTAACTCTAGAATTGATGAGTTTAAGAAATGTTACCGATATTTAATCAACTTTATTATCTTCTTTGAATAATCTATCGATTAAAAATCTTAATAAAACTTATATTATAGAATTTAAATAAAAAAATATTCTTCAAGTATTGGAAGTTTTAAATAATTTATTAATATTATACTACTTAATAAATTTTTTTTTTTATTTTTTTTTTAATATTTTATATTTGTTTAGTATTCAATGTACAGTATTTCAAATTTTTCTTGATTAAAAAGATATATTCTATCTTTAAATAATCTTATTATAAACGAGATTAACTTATCTTATTATATATTCGCGAATATACATCTAATAAATAATACATATCATTTTTATTAAATTATATCTTGTTCTCGTATTGTGTTACTTCCGTATTTAATCATTGTTAAATTATGTCATGTGAAAAACGATATGATCCATTTCTACCGTACATGTGATTCACGACCTACCTGAATAGGAGATTAAAGATAATGTAATAATAGAATAGAGTAAGGTAAAGTTACATTTCCTCTCTTTCTCTTTCTCTTTCTTTCTTTTATTTTGTAAAGAGAGTTCTACAAAATGGGTTCATTTTATGAAGACATGTATATAGTATAATTTATGCAAGTATATTAATCATAAAGATTTATTTAGCACAGATTTAATATATAGATAATACTTTGATAAAGAACTTACCTTATTTGTAATTATTAAACAATCCATCTTACTTCATCTTCTTTCTTGAAGAAAATTATCAAAATTTTATAAGGGGATAATGAAGTGAAATGTTTTTAGAAAAGAATAAGATCAATAAAAATTAATAAAATATTTTCTTTGTATATCTACTTATAAAAAATATTCCTTACATCGATCAATGTTATTTATAATATTAAAAATATAAAAATATATTTATGTACATTGATTTATTTACAAAAATAGATAGTTACAATAGACAAAACTCGTGCGATCTGTAAATCTTCTCCTTTACCTAATTAATGAGCAATGAGGAAAATTTCTAGAGTTTCTACATTCACATATTTTCTCACCAAAAATTTATCTCCAACTAAATCTATTAACTAAAAATATAAAAATTAATTTCACGTTCAATATTCATTTCCTGAATAAAAACAATTAATAATTTAATAAATAATATCTCTCTATATCCTATACATTACTCTTTGATTCTAAAACATTATCAATTGAACCATTAGAAAATACGTCGTTATTCGAATCGTATTGCATCGAATTTTATAATTATTTACATTAAAAAATTTAATTATCCTCACATCGAATATTTTCCACGGAAAATAATTGCGCAAATAAAAATACATGCGGCCATCGTTCAAGAATTAGGTACTTTCCTTAGTCTGACTCACCGATTGGAAATCCACGAATTACATCCATCGAAGACCATCGAAAATGTTTACGCATTAAAATATAAGAAATAAAAAAAAAAAAAAAAAAAGAAAAAAATTCCACAAAATGTTTCGTCGACACGATAAAACCTATCACTTCTTTCTTAATTCCGTTTATATATAAAAATTCACATTTGCATAAACATCCACGATCCACTTGCCTATCATTCCCGTTACCATGACGATACTCCACTTCCACTTCCAAAGAAAACGGGATCGAAAGACGATATTAATTGTCGAAAGAATTGGAACCTGGCTAACTTACGAAAGATGAGTGGCGGAGAGGGATGGTGGAACCGTAAGTGAATTCATGAAACGAACGAGACGGGGATCGACCGATACCCCTGACTGACTTTTACTAATGCCCGTGCAATCATCGCCCCGTTAAAATATGCCGCCCACGCTTCGATGATAGTTGAGCTGAGCGTGTTGGGAATAATCGTAGCCCTGATCGTACCATTCCGCCGCCGATGCAGAATTCCCGGTACCAGAAGACGGTGTACCAGCATGACTCGCGTGCGAGGAATGCTGATGACTCGAATGACTCGACGTGTATTCACCTTGGAAGTGATTGAACTGTCCCCAACCGAGTTGCGCCCTGGACCAATCGGTGTTCCCTGTAATTGGGTCGAAATTCGGCCCGCGTTCAACATTAACACGCCTCGAAAACGAGAGAATCACCAGAGATGATTCGTTTGAGGTCGTCGTCGGGGTTGAGGTCGATAACATTTCATTCGAAGCAAAGATGATGAAAGAAGGAATGATCATATATGAACGTGCTCACCGAAGTTGCGTTCGTTTGCAATTCGATGAATTCTTTCTTTAAAAATTTTTATTTCAAAAATGGTGTCTAGAAGGATCGAGAGAAAAGATAAAAGTTTTCGTAGAAAAATATTGGTTCGTATAAATTTCTCGACACAGAAGAGACAAAAACTAATATATCTATGAAAAGGATTAATTAATTTGGACGATGGAAGAGAAAGATCGTGACTCAGGTTTGACTCTTCCTATCTAAAAATAATAAATTAATCCACATCTTATACAAATAATGAGAACGCAACTCACCTGGATTGTGAGAAAGGGTCGTGGGTGCCCCGTGAGCGGCAGGAGGTTGAATCGTTGGTACCTGTCCAAGCTGCATCGCGTGTCCCTGCAACGAGCTCAGGTGGCCGGAGATTGACACCGCGTGCCCTTGAAGAGCGCTACTGATCGTGGAGGGCACCTGGGCGGCTGAGGTCGTGGCCGACATCTGCGCGTTGCTTCCTGGCACTTGGTGAACACCGCCGCTCGTTTGTTGCAACGTGGTCGGGCTGTGGTGCAACGTGGTCGGTATTTGCGCTATTCCAGACGGTATTTGAGGTACCTGAGGTAATTGAGCGAGCTCGTGACTGGCGGCGTATTGGCAGGGTGTTAGAGGTAGGCTCGCCACCGAGTGAGCTATGCTTCCAGCGTGTTTTCGCAATCGTGCTCTGCGATTGCTGAACCATACCTGGAACAACGAAAAACGTTTTGTGTTTCAGTGTCAATTCACTTGTCATTTCATCGTTGTTTAATTGTCGTCGTAACCTTTTCCGCTTCGACGAAAAGAAAGGTTCGAGTCGTTTTCATCATTCACGAGTACAAAGATAGTTTTTATTAGCGATAGTTCTCTTTCTTTTTCAGGCCTTCGACATTTCATATAGGATGAAAAAGAAAAGGAAAGGAAAACAAGATTCGAAAATCTATGATTATTGTTAATCTACATTAATAAATGTAGAAGAGGAACGAAATATTTTAATTACTTGGATCCTTGCTTCCGTGAGACCTGTCCTCTGGGCCAATTCTTCCCTGGCGTAGACGTCCGGATACTGAGCACGTTGAAACGCTGTCTCCAGTTGCTCCAGTTGCTCTCCTGTAAACGTTGTCCTGCTTCTGCGTTGTTTTCGTTTCAAAGGAATACCCGGCTCGCTTTCGGTATCGGATTCATCGCCACACCGGCCTGCGGATCATGGAATTTATTATCATTATACTCGCCTCGTTATATCGATTTGTTCCACTTTCAACATCGAACAATTGATAAACTTTCACGGATGATTAATTTATTTTTCGTATTCCATGGAATTTTAATTTTAAATGGATTACACTTTCATAATTGGTTAATTTAAGAATTATATAGTAAATATTTCTTGAAATTTATCCATTCTTTTAACTCTTAGCATTGAAAAAAGAGGCATTAATCAAGAAAATATGTATTTCCTTTTTTCCACGTAGAGCCTTCGATTCTCTTTTACCGACGCACAACGTGAACAATAAGAAAAGTGATCAAATAACAAATCTGTCTCTCCCCTATCTCCACGAGATTCCTCCAATTCCTCCCTCATAAATCGATCGTATCACTATCAACTGATCGTATCCTCAGCCAAGACACTCGAACAGCCTTTCCTCGTCCGTTTAATTCCGCTCGACGAGACAAATCCGCAGGTAGCCAAACATCATAGTAATCTCCATCGAATGGAGGCAACAGCTCCTTGTCATAACAGACTTCCTCCTCTTCCATTTTCCCCGGCGTTCTCGCCGGCGAAAAGAGCACGCGAGCCACCAACCACGTTTGAAACGAAACGAAAACGCCTGAATTTCCACCGATATCCTTTCACGATGGAATCGTCGAACGTGTTCGAAACGAGCCTCTCTTCGCACAGAGAAATCGAGGATACAATAGAGCGTTGTGGACGCTCGATTGGACGATAATGGTGGACAATCGGCGGGACAATGGAGGAAGAGACTCGACTTAGGGGAGAAACTGTTCAAACTCGAGCGATCATTTCGAGATGGTCATCCCTTATTGGCTTATTTCGTGAGCCTGTTTATATTGTTGTTGCTGTGTCTTTTACAACAACGCAGATTGCAGAGAGTTGTGGACGCACGAGCTCTCTCGACCGAGTAAACACGAAACGGGGATGATTTGGCGAATCGAGACGCAACAATGAGCGGCGTATGTAAGAGGATATAAAAATTATAAAGAAGAGTGTTGTTGAATGGGAGACACATTTTTGTTAAACGCTCTTCTGTGTTTGGCTCGAAGGAAAATGTTTTGGGGATGGGTTTGGGAGAAAAGAAATTTTTACGCGATTAGAAATTGTTGGTTAACGATGGATCTTCTGGCTTCGTGGCCTGCCTTTGTTCTGGCGTGGTTCTGAGAAAAATGTAATGTAAAATGTAAGATTATTTTTGAATAAGTTGTTCATTCGAGCCGAGCCTTTTAAGTTTATTTATCAATATAATCAAAAGTTACGTTTTTATAATAATAAAGATACTGAAATATTTTAAAAAATTGTGCGACTATTATTAGGTGATCCTCATTTTCATTACAAATTGCATTAAAATTTTTACGGTATATAAAATTTGTATGGTTTTCTTTGGACGAAAAGAATACGTATCAATGAATTTTTAAAAAATTTTTTTATATATAAAGAAGCAAAAGATACGTCAAACACGAAAAATTTTAGGGCGTTATTCGATACACAGAAAGAATAAAACGCATGATTGCTCGTTAATAAATTGCAAGATTAATATCATGTAATATTTTATATTAAATCAACAATTTTTTATTAACAAAGGTTACTATAATTTACAAACTTTTATCGTGAATTCTCTCAAATATATGTTCTTTATCTCAATAAATCTTTGAATCTATGAAAACGCGGAAAAACCACAAAGGTACCGACATTGTGTCATTTGAGAAAAGAGGGAATTCTTCTTCTTCTTTTTCTTTCTTTCTTTTTTTTTTTTTTTTTTTTGTAAGAACGGCAACGGAGTCATGTTTTGCCTTTTCGACAGTAGAACCTGCCTCGAATCGTTGCCACGCAATGAACAATACCCCTCTTTTCCTGCGGTTTTTCACTTTGTGCCAAAGAAACGTCCAAGGATGCGACAGAAGTGTGCAATTTGCTTGCCGTATTCCCAGCGGCGGTCTTTTGAAGTGCCTCCACTTTCTAGGAGCCGCATCACATTTGTCAAAACTTGATCCCCTCTCCTCTCATATAGCCCAACAAGTTTTAAAATCTCTGATCAACAACAATTTTTCATTTCACATACTTATATAAATATAATAAATTAATTTCAAATATCAATCATTAAACGATCAATAAACACGCTCGTTCCTTAATTTTTCTAATTTTAAAAACCTTTTTAAAATTGATACACATTAAGATTATCACATCGACGTTCGTTTCTTCGTCGAATAAAACCGAGCAAACCTTCCACTTTTATTAATTTAAACTTAACCATCGAGTTTAAACAATTTAAACAATTGATTTATCGAAGAAAGTTCACTCTACGGTGTGTCATCACGAAAAATTTCGAGAGCAAGCCGTGGTAAGGTGATTATTATCGTTGCTAGTCATTGGCCAGGTGTCATCGTGATGCACGGGACGTGGCAACGGCTTCGATGATCGGTGGTGGTAGCTGTTTAATGGGTCGACGTGAAATATCGACGAGGATTTTTCGTGGCCCGTCCAAGTCTGGTCCGCGGTTCACCCGCGACGAGGTGACAGGAATTTAAACCGGGTGTCCGTCGGCTTTATTGTAAATGCAACTTGTCTCCGAGGCATTCTTCCATTCTTCCGTTTGTCATAGGAGAAATGCGTACGGTACGGCAAAGGTGCCGCCAAAGGGATCACCGTGGTCATCCTCTTGTCATTCGTGTTCAACGCGAGAACATTTTTTTTTTCTTCTTCTTCTTCTTCTTCTTCCTCCTTTTTTTTTTTTCTTCATCGCCCGACCGGTAGCCTTCGAATCGAATCACACATTTTCTTCTTCGACCGACTTGTCGAACGCGGATACGTATCTATTGTCTTCATCTATTCTCGATGTTATTCAAATTTTTGTTAAATCTTCTGTTATTCTAAGAGAATATTCATATTTGATCCATATCGTTCGTTTGTTGGAATCTTTTGTATCAAGGTAGTGCAAAACTTTTAATTTTTGTTAAGTTCGTTATTGCAATAATTATTAATTATATTAATGGTGCTTGGGTTGGTGAATTTATTTTAAACATAAAATTTGTTCGTTTTTCATTTATTAGTTTTATGATAAATCATAAGATATATCAATCGCAATTAATAATGGAAATTATTTTGGTTAAATAGCGAAGATATTGAGGATTTTAATTTCAAAAAACTACAGCTATATCTATTTCATATGTTTCGTTTCTTCTTTTGTCGTTAGAGCAACATCGAATCACAAAGATTTCCTCTTTGCTAACTTTTTTTTAAAATTTTGTTTCAGATGAGCTGGAAGCAAAAGGAGAAGGACGATTTCCTATCAAGAGATCGATTAATTGTATCCCATATGTTAAAGTTTTAACGAGAACTCGTTGATGAATCTCGTTTTATAAATTATCTTCGTTCCATTGTTCTAACATTCTAATTGTGGTTTGAATGTATCGGTGAATTGCGACTTTTGACGTTGACTGTCTCATCCTTCTATTAAATATTCAAATTTCTTTCTTGGGGATTAAATAAATAAACGCGCGTATAAAGATTTTCTTCTATTGTCTCGTTAAAGTATAATAATATTTTTAAACGATAATGTAATTTTCGAAATGATAATATAATTCAATAAAGATTGACTTAAAGAAATAATAATATATTACAAATACAATAAAATCTCCTATATATGTTTCGTATATAATAAAATAAAAGAGATACAACGGATAATAGAATAATCAAAAAAATTATTCAAATGCGATTCAGCAATATAAATATAAGTTTATTTATATGGAAATGCTATATCTATTTAGTAATTAACATGAATTTCTAAGCATGAATAATGTAAATAATTAAATAAAATACTTATTATCGTTTTCTACAACGACATTATAAATATCTAATTATTAAAAATCGTATTTCTTTTTTAATTTCGTTTTAATCAACGATTAACACGGTGATCCAAAAAAAAAAAAAAAAAAAAAAATACAAAAATACAAAAATCCAATTCCTTTTAGAAGCCTTCGTTTAACTCACGTTCCTCCCGTTTATCAAGGAATTTTATCAATTAATCCATCCTGCATCGTGTTTATTTTTCTTTCCTCTTCAAGGCAAACAGAGACGGAATATTCGATGTTGCACGATCAGAAGCTGATGTACGACGCTGGTTGACGCACGACAAATGCCTTGACCGGTGAATTACCCGGTTCATAGAGGGCGATCATTGGCTGTCGGTCGGGTTTACTCGTTGATAGGCACAATCAATATCGAGATGAAAAGAGAGGCGATTGGTTGAATAGAACGCGTGAAAAGATGCGTGTAATCAATTAGAGAGGGCCCGCGGTGTCGAGAGCAAATATCTCTTTCGAAGCAACGTCATCCTGAAATGTGCTGGTCAGCATCCCCGCTGAGCAAAGTTCTGTACGTTTACATATGAACGTAGGCTCTGTATATGTAACGAACCTCGTCGGTGCACACCAACTCTTGGAACACTTGTAAATGGCTAGATACCTAGACGTAGATCCGTGTACAGATTGTCTTGGATAATTTCGTTTCGACTTTAATCCTCGTTCTTCTCTCGTTCCAAAGGACAAAATTTTTATATAATATCGTTACTTGTAAAATGATAATTCGTCATTTCGTTTGTAGAAGAGATATTATTATTTTTCTTTTTTTTTTACATATATCTTGATGCATTGGATTTAATTCGATCGATATTTTTCTGTCAGAGATCCGAATTTAGTTACTCAATACTTGTATATCGGATGGATAAAAGTTAGAATTTCTGTTCTGATCAAATAGGTAAAAATAACTTGTAATATTCGCAGATTTATTGAAAACAAACAGTAAGCAGTCGTATAATTTCCTATAATACTTCATATACTCACATGCATTTCATATATTGTATCTGGAATTATAAATATTATAGGTACCTATTAAAATCCTCCGTTGAATAGATTTAATACTTGTTACTTCTTCTCAACAAGTTAAAATAACAGAATCAAACGAATCT